TCTAATACACATCATCAATAGATGAAATCATTGGAAATGTTATCAAATATGATTTTCATATGGATTCGCTATATTAAAATATGGAACCGGTTGGTAATATTTAATATGAATGGTAATAACAAATCAACGAAATAACACAAGAATTGACAAGTCAACTTGACATTTAACATGGAATAAACTCATTTAATTTTTGGAATTTTTGGATTTGGCATAATTATTCTTCTTTTGGATTTTTATGTGATGCAACAAATAAATATCAGTACAATGAATCGAAGAGTCTAAAACTAATCAACAAATTAATATGGCTGGTAGCGCGCAGTGACTGACTGAATCAATGTTTACATCGAATGTGGATGAATAGATATCATTGCTTTGGTTGTAGCTCATTTATCGTCTGCTTGACTGCGGAGTGCGTATTTCCTCTTGGGGGAAGACAATATTTGGCTGCATTGATTGTCGCTATTTCTTTTCCGCGGTGAACTGTCCGTTACATCCATGTTTAGCTTATCACTTTTGGGTTGATCGGAATAGAAACTTGTTTCGTTTATTTTGAACTGTTCCGATATTGCTCTGTGCTTTCTATCAATTGAATGGAATGAAAATTTTGAAAATATTTTGCAGTAGATACACTTGATTATTCAAAAGTCAAGCAATCATGCGACAATCTCTTACAAATCTGACTGGTACAGTTTCTTATCGTGGATGTATTCAATGACCTCATCGTTCAGCAAGTATTTCACTGACAAACCACGTCGCAGATGTAGTCTTGCTAATGTTGAACTGATTTCATTCGGCACCCAATTTTCGATAATCGTTATGTTGTTCTACAGAAGTAGACAAATTAAAATAAAATCTCACTAATCATTACAAATAAGTCGCACATACTTTGTACTCATACATTAGATCCGAATTGAAGACAAATTTCTGTGGATTCGATCCGTTACGGGCTATTACAACCACACCATGCTCTCTCAAGATAGTTTCAAGCTAAAGAAGAAAATAAAATTCACATGAATCGATGAAAAAAAAAATGTCCCTTTGATTCTGCCACTTACCTCTGTATCATTCCAAAGATTTCTGTTTGCAAATGATTCAAGTAGATCGGCACCACAGAGCAGTTTGACTTTGATTTGTCTTTCCTTATATTCGGCTATATTAGATGGCATCCAATTCGGCACATTTTCCATCCAATATTCGTTGTCATCTTTTAGTATGGAATTGAGATAATTCTGAAATTGGATTCTTAGTCGATAATCGATTGGAGTTTGGATCAAAAACCCAACGCAAAACTCACTTGATGATACTGAAGCACTTCCAATGTTGGTGACCATTGTTTTCGTTTGCATTCCCAACTTGACAGTCGAATCCAGTCGGACGATTGGAGCGACATTTTGATCATTTTGCATCGATGTTCAGATGAAACTAATTGAACATTCGGCTTTTTGTACGAATCATGTACTGGCGATACGATTCCACCAATTACATTTACCTCTCTGCTGCCCCGATAGTCATTACCTGCAATTTCTAGAAATATTTCCATTTTATTCGATTTAATTCGCAATAATTTAATGAACAATTTGTATTTTTGTTGAAGTTATTTCTTCCTAGTTTCAGTAAATGTTCGAAGAACAATGCAGTTTTCCCAAAACAAATAGGCACACTTACCAAACATGCGAAAATGCATCGGTGTCGGAGGATTGAACGAACCACAAGCGAGCAGCATGATGTTTTCCGGCATTGTACAAATTTAATTACCTTTTAAAATCGAACACAAATTCAAAATATTCAATTTTCTCAGTTAGTAGGCATGGTATGTTCGACTGTTCAAAATTGTAAACAAACTTTATTGAATGCATGAAATGTCATTCATTCGACAAATCTAGTCTTGGGACACAGTTTGAACTCAACGCCATCTACTGAACATGGCATTGAGATAGGATGTGATATTGTGATAAAATAAAGTTTTTCTTATTGTGCAGTCGATTTGATAAAAGAAACGGTTTCAAAGTCTTGTTTATATTTCCATTCAATTTTTGATATATGTCCGTTGCGTTTTATATGCAGCTGAGCATAACATTAGATAAAGGCTAAAGCTAAACAAAACAGAAAAAACGCGGGCCAACGTAAACCGAAAATATGACAATTTTTCTTTTCATTGGAAAGTTCCCAAATTTGAACGAATGGATATTTTTACACCCGATATGCTGATGTTGATTTACTGACCATTTATTTTCCTAACCATTTTCATTCACGTTCGCAAAATGAATTTAAAAAACGTTTCTGAAATATTAAGGCATTTTATTGATTTTTTTTTTTTCAAATTATTTTTCGCTTCAAGTATAAAATATTTAAATCTATTTATTATTTCGCTATAATTGAACTGTAACAATATATTGCTATTTGCAACTTAGTATAATGCATATCAAACCCTAAGTATTAGAATGGAACATAATAACGTATAAAAATCATTGTGTTTTATCATTTCATATTTGGTTTCATTGCTAAACAAAAAAAAGTTGTTGAACGAAAGTTCAATTTGTGGCATTCTAAACAAAAAACTAATCAAAACAATGAATTTCGAAGAATAAAAATCCATATAAAAAACGATTAACTCCAAATAATTATATAATTTATATTAAATACGCTTCTATTGAATAAATTGAGAGTAAGAAAATTGTGATAAGTTTATTTTTGCTGCTATTTTTCTGCATATGATTGGCCAGCCATTCAGTACATTTATAATTTTTCATAGTCTAGTCATAACTGTCTGACTAGATTTTTGGCTGAATCATCGCTGTGCGTACCGTATCCATTGCGAAATTCATTTCGGTGGGATTGTCGAATGAACACGTCTTCATGCATTGGTGATTTTTGGCTGATTGGATCGCGTCTTGGTCTCATCAACTGTCGGACATCATCAATGGAGATTTCGGCATTTTGAAAAGCGTTCAACAAAATTACCGCAATAATAACGATGCAAAATCCGCACAGGTCTCCGATAACATTTTCAACGGTCATATGACGCCATTCTTTGAACAAAATCGCCGAAGCCACGATAACCAAAGTCGTAAAAATAACGTAATAAATCGGCGTAACGATGCTCGTGTTAAAGATATCCAATGCCTTGTTCAGATAGTTCATTTGAACAAAAATGAAGAAGATTGTGGTGATTATTAACACGTAAGGTAGCCACAAGCCAAAATCGTTTGATTTGCCGGAAATTGTATCGCGCAGGGCTAATCCAAGTGCTTTGCACGACATTACGGTAAGACTGCCGATAGCAGAACACAAAATCACATACACGGCAACGTTCAAGTGACCCATTCGTGGTCCGACATAAAATGCGATAAGCAGTGAAACGGCACCAATGAACAACACATAAACAATAAACGATGCATCTTGTAATTTATTCATTAGTTCGGCCAAATCTTCCACTTCGACCTCTTTTGGTGAATGCAACACAATGATTATGGATCCAAGAATGCATAGTAAACAACCTAATTTGCCAAGGATATTCAGTCTTTCATTCAGGAACTTTGAAGCCATCACTGATGTCACTAGAACACTTAATGCGCCGAGTGGCGTCACCAATGATGCTGGTGCAAATGCGTATGCTGCAAAATTGGCTGCTTCTCCAATTCCCACTGCAAAATAAAGCACAAACAGAGAAAGACGAAATTGAAATAAAATGTAATCGCATAAAAACGTGAAAGATAACAAAATGATAGCGCAGAGATTGTTCTCGGTGCATTTTTTTTTATTGAATGTATCTTACTTGTGATTAAGCCAGCCCACCACAGCCATTGCTTTAAATAGCCAAATCCGCCGGCGCTTGCACGTAAACTGCCCGAACGATTCAAGTGGATCAATGCCTTTTTCTTGATGATAAAACTCGATCCAATGAAAAACGATGACGATATAGCCAATCCGAGTCCAATATAAAACTCTTTCTGACTGTACAGTTCATTCAAATCGTTCAACGATGTCGACGGAGTGCTCGCCATTTTACCCGATTTTTAATTTAGTCCAAATAAAAACAAACTCGTTTCCCAACACTATAACACTACTGAATCGAATCGAGTGAAGTGAACACTAATAACTATTTGCCGCCACTTGTACAATGTACATTCCGATAATTCGGTTTGTGCTAATCTTTTTCCAACACAATATTATTTGTATTGAATAAATTTTTTTTCTCACTCTTTTATCAATACGCCTTTTGATAAGATAAGCGACAATTTTGAACCGTTTTTCGTGTCTGGCTTTTGATTTGTTGTACGTGTTTCTCCAACCGATTCACAATGCGACACTGGATATCAAAACACCGTAATGCTCAACTATGTGAATAATACTAATTGATATGAGTCATTTGATAATTATGTACGTAAAAATCCGGAACTATTATTTTCACATAAGTTTTACCACATTCCTTTTGTTTGGTGATTATTTTTTTTATTTTTTTTTTTTGTATTCTCATCAAACTTTTGTAAAAACTATCTATTTTTCGCTCTGAAAATAGAACAACTACTTCGGTCGGAATGCTATCGCAAATTTAGAAGAAAAAAAGGCTTCAATTAACAGCGCAATAATTCTTTCTTCAATCCGTATAAGTGCTAAGCCGTTTGACAGATAGATATTTTTTTGTTCGTTTCATCATTAGCTCTGTTTACATTTTCGCAAGCATATGACACAGATAGATGTGTCAAATGCATTTGATCAACGTCAGAGATCTACTACTACTATCCAGAAAGCGTTTGAATATGGCTAAATTTTCAGCCACTTCAGCCATAGAACAATAGATGGCGTTGATTTTGAACTTCGAATCCTCACACTTCAATAGAAAACTGCGTTTGAGGGAGAAAAAAATGCAAATGATGCTATTTATTTTATTGCTTTTTTTAGTCGAAAATCAATAATTGATACGAACCTCCGCAAAATTTATAACAACGCAATAATAACAACAACAAAATGCGAACTGAATGCGAATTTCGATCGAATACAAATGGATGGCATCTCATACCATCAAGAATATACATACATACGATTTAATTTGTATTCATTTTCGTTGAACCGCCGCTCAACGGCAGCAATCAAGTCAGACGAGAAAAAAAATAATTGAAAAAAAAACGCTGGCTTTCATCGTCCAAAATAACATTCAATTATCCTTTAAATACTCATAATTAGCTGTACATTGTTTCTCGCAGCGAAATAAAATACAATGTAGTGTGGAATTTTTTTCAGCATTTTTTTTTTGCCTTTTGGGCAGCCACTTTAGTACACTGCGAAAAAAGATCGCAAAATACGCCGCAATTATTCATATTTGTATTATTTTTTGTAGCAATTGGGAGATGTTGTTCACAGTGTACCTGAAACAGTTGCTCAGTACTCTGCACACACACCACCCGGCAATGACGACATTCATTTCCACTACATGTTGTTAATGAACGCTGATGATGCTCGTGAATTAATTTGCATGAGCGTCTGCATCTCAGAGTGTCGAAAAGAACGCACTACTTTGTTTTTTTTCAAAGCAATTTCTTCATAGCAAAATCATAATTACCTCTCTTGACGCTGGGCTTAGTTTGAGCCAAACAATGAATGCAGAAACCCATTTCAAAACCTTACACGAGATATTTTTCATTTAAATGAGAATTCATTGCTGAATCTATTCTATTGTTTCACGCGGAACGTGGGCTATTTTTAATTTCCATGAGCGTAGAGCATGCAACCTCGTTTCAACCGAATGTCCGCACGGCGAAGGAATTATGTCGATACATGCATTCACATCTCTGCTATTCTTCTAGAAAAGCTATGCCAGCAAGGAGTGGTTCATGATAGTGCATTTTTATTAACATGCAAATGTACACTCTCATTCACATGCTTCTATCCCGTGGAATTAGGTTTTGAAATGCACGTGAAACGAAAAAAAAAAAAACAAAATGAAAATATTTTTGTGAATTTACGATACAATCAAATGGAGATCGAGTTTTTCAAAACCAATTTCAATATTTAAAACCGTTTTTTTTGCCCACGATTAATGTTTCTCCATTTAGTTCGTGTGGGATTGTTTTCAAGAGTCAGACATCATTGTCGTCGTGTTCAATCGCCATTCGCATTGAGAGAGAGAGAGGGAGAAAAAAGTGCTGAAGTGCAAATGCAAATCGTAATCGTAATCGACTCTGGGATGGTGCTTTAACGTTTATTTACTCGCATTGTCATTGTCTTTTTGCGTTGTGCACAAGTCATCAGCAGGATGTTGACTTTGCGATTTGACAGCAATAAAAATGAAATGCCGCGAAATTGAAACCGCTACACATTTTGATTCACCTAACCGCAGTTCAATTCAACCAGTATATGTGTGTGGGGATAACCGTAACCGAATCGATTTGGTTAGTGCACAGAGCAGAGAGCACAAGCAAAAGCCAGCGGTGACGTACACAAAAACCCCATTTAGAGACCACAAAATCAGTGTCATTCTAATAATAATGACAAAAAAAAAGTCGACGATTCTCATTCCAATTTAAAGTGACTGGCATTTTCCCAGCATTTCACATGCGCTCATTCGTTCGCTTTTTTCCACTCTCTCTTTCTCTTGAGCACTCGATGAGCATCAATAAACATGAATGCGTTGTCGCACTTATTATTATTCGAATTGCCTCTTCTGCTGATTGCCCGATCGAATATATATTGTGGTGCCAGACGAAATCCATATAAAAATACATTTAACTTAATTATGCGGGAAAAGAAACCGTATTTTTACGACTAAATCGACAGCAATAAATAAGATGTGGTGTAATATTTTTAAAAGGTCATCATTTTCACTTTGACTCCAACAACGTCAACAGCAACCAAGTTTTCATTCGCATCATTGACGCAGAACGAAGATGTCGCCCTTACAGATTTTATTTACTACCGCCTCGCAACACACCAATGGGTAGCACATTATATTCACACATTCCGTATGAAGAAAAAAAACCCATCAACACTACGTCATATGTGCGACCATTTTTTCTAAACATTTTTCACTCTGCCACATTCATTTACCAACGACACATTTTATGGACACAAATCCGTTTTTTCATTGTGACGCAAATTTTCGCTTCGAAATTCCATTTGCAACAGCTCACACGCAACATAAGAATTAAGGAAATCATTTATATGAAATACAATTTTAGGCATCGAAATTCTTTAATTCGCTCTTGCTCTTGTGCCGTGCTGCCATTTTTAAGTCTCGTCGTCAATTAACGCAAGGTTGATGTATGTAATAGTTAAATCGGAACTACTAGAGTTCAATTCCCCCTTTTTCAAAGAGAAGCATTGGCGCATTAATAAAAGAACGCAACTTTACCATTGTGTGTCACATTTATCATATATATAAGTGCACATTGCACATATTTAGGGAAACATAAATCAAACCGAAAAAAGTATAAACCTAAAAAATGAATGTGGAAGAATCTCCATTAGGAATACAACAAGTAAATAGGCTGAGCTTAATAAGCTCTTTTGATACATATGGACTTTTTTTAACTAATTTCATGACAAAAAAAAACTTTTACATCAAAAAACCGAATTCAATTAGAGCATTTTTTCCTGAAATCGCCCGATGATGGAAACACGGTTTTCGAAAACGTTCGCGTAAATTAACAGCTTACGTATTTTGAATCAGAATAAGAAAAGTTAAATACAATATCATTAAATGATTTTTTACTGTTACAGTGTTAATACTTTTTTTTCCTTCAAAAATATCCAAGCACCTACAATAGTACTAATATAATATTGCAGAGAAGCAGAGAGAGATGGAGATATAGAGAAAAGTGATCCTGCTGTGAATCTTTGAAATGTTGATCCTCTTACGTATTGCCCAAACAAAAGCAGATGTGATTTCATTTTTTTGTCGGTCTGAATGTGTGTGTGTTTGAGTGCCACCGCCTCTACGGTTTTCCACTCGCTTAGGTCTGATTACATAGAAAATTAAGTTTGTTTGTTGCCAAAAACAAGTTCTTATCAATCGACTCTGGAAAAGAAAATTTTTTTTTTTCGTTTACGAAACTTTCTTCTATCGAGATTTTCCCGAAAATTGAATTCACAAAGTCAAGTTAAATTTGCCGTATTTCAAACTTTGTAGTAAGTTTGAGTCGAAAGAAAAAGAAACCAACCCGAAACTAAATTCTCATCACAGTTACTCACACTGAGATGAAAGAAGAACGAAAAAAAAAAACACATTGACGACAGAAAATGAAATTGGAAAATTCAAAATAGAAATCGCCATGGACTTATTCGTCGCTCTTTTGATCGCATGTAGCACAGTATTCTCTATATATCTTGCGAATTTTTCAGTGAATTTACCAGTAATTGAATCACATAACCACATATTGTGTCCGGCTCACGCCATTTGACACCGAACTGACTCTAACACGATATATATGTGGTGCTGGTGATGCTGGTCGTGCTGCTTTTGCGTTATTGAGACATTTTGAATTTTAGACGCATCACAAATTTCACCAACTTAGTTAGCAAATTTGATCACAGTATATTTTCAAAGCAAACTTGATGAAAATCCACAAAGCAACCCATTTTCCCAGATAATCCAATTGATTCAATGTTTGGCCACTGTTTCGTTTTCACTTTGAATGCATCTCATAAACCGGATGACTACTTTTTTGCTCAGATTCCGCTGGTGGTTCATCGGCTCTTGATGATTGTGTATTATTTGGCGGAAAAGTTGACAGATGAACTGGTTATGGTCTGCTTACAACTAAAAAAAACTTTCAATTGATTGAAATAAACACACAGACACACATGTATGTGGAGTCTCACACTGGCCAATTGATAAGAGAAACAATATTGAATCGAATGGAAAGTTGTGCATGCTGGCTGTTCCAGTGTTTGTCTTATCGCAAAAGTTTTTCTTCTTCATCGTCGTCGTCTTAGTTTGTTGTTCTGGTAGTTTGAATGTGTTTTTACGTTACTTCACTGCCATTTATCGGTTCCACAATGTTAACTATAAACAAGAGTTGTAAAAGCGGGCATTGGGATACGTATAAAGGGAAAAAAAGAAGGTGAATGAAATCAATGAAACATAAAATACATACATGCACAGCTAAATTGTCTGTGTAATTGTCGCAGCGTGGAGTGAGAACGGGAGAAACAGAGAGAGAGAGAGAAGAGCAAAAAAGCATACACATACAAAACAAATCGCATATAATATGATTTTCGGATCGCTTGTCTTGCTTTCTAGTTTCTAGTGCCTGACATTTCATGTACAATTTTTCGTGCTGTTACTGAAAATGATGTTGTTACTATTCATCGTGTACACGTTTAAGTTTTGCTCGATGATGATTATTATTATTGTTATGGCTTTAGTTGGTTTGAACGCGGCAACCTTTTGTACACACTCACACTCACTCGCACACATACACATTTGTGTGCATAACAGAAGAGAATAGAAAAAAATATTGTATACACGCGCACGCTATGGATTTGTTAGTAAACGACGTTATAGAACACACATGACTGCTTGCTTTTTTCCCAAGTGTCTAAAGTGACACACACAAGTGCCATAAACTTAGTTATCCAAAGCCTTTTCCCTGACCCTTTTATAAATAATTTTTGTGTCGTGTATGTTTTCGTTGTTGGGATCGTTGCTGTTTTTTTTCATG